AAGTAAACATTTAGTTAACGCCTTACAGAGCTGTGTGAGCTCTGCCCCAGTCACAGCTTAACTCTCCTGTGAGTGAGAAACGCGAGACTAAAATGCAATCTTCCCTATAGGGAGTTTAAAATATATTCATAGCTATGCCATAAATAATTCATTTGAAATCTTGTTCATGTCTTAATAAGGAAAGCTTACAAAAATGACCCCTCATGATAATGACTTTAGGCTCTGCAAACGCCATTCCACCCTTACACATAAATAATTCATTTGAAATCTTGTTCATGTCTCAATAAGGAAAACTTACAAAAATGACCCCCTCATGATAATGACTTTAAGCTCTGCAAACGCCATTCCACCCTTACGAAAATCAGTGTGTGACCACACCACATCTTCAAAAGGAAAGGAAAGAGGTGTGTCTATGACAATGAGAAGTAAGGGTGCTTTGGGTTTAAAAAGTAGGTTTTAAAGATTTAACATGTTTTTTGTTACCCTTTTATTTTCCTCACTGATGACTGTTTCTTCCAGAACACGAAAGATGAATAATGCATATTCTCCTTGGTAGATAGAGACTGTAAGGTTGGCTCAGGGTGTTGCAACATTTGGACTCACATCTCACCCAGCCTTCTAACTGGGAGGAGGATGCTATGAAATCACTAGGTGCATTGGGAATGGATCCATGTCCCACTCATGTTCACCCAAAGCACCCCTGGGGAAACAGATCCTTTAGTGCCTCTGCTGACGAGCTGAGTGGAACCCACTGCTGACTGTTGGAGAGCGAAGCGTCTCTTGTTTTTATTTCTCAATGAGGTATTCCAAAAGGAAGGGGTTTGCATAACTCACGTGACTCTGCAGGTTGCATTTCAAAAGAAAAAGAAAAACAAATGGTTTGTGGTTCTGTTGAGTCTAGCCATAATGTGATGTAAATGTACTAACAGTCCTAGCAAGGGCACACTCATGCTTGTGAACCCTGGGCCAGCAAGGGAGCAGCTGTTCCCAGCACCGATGAGCTATGTGTCCAAGAGAGAAGATGCACAGGGCAT